CCCGCGGGCATCTGCCGGGGTTAGGGCACCTGCCCGTCGTTTGATGTTTTATTGCCCCAACTCCCGAGTCCATCTTAAAAAGAACCCGGTGAAAAAATGGGAAAGGATCGGAGGGGGGACGGACGGACGGACGGGACGGTGCCGGGCCACCGCGCAGGGAGCAGAAGGCGCGGGTTGGGGTCCGTCTCGTGGGGGGTCGCGCTGAAAGGCGCTGTTCTGCGCCCCGTTTCAGGCCGAGGATGCGTTTGACTCGGAGCCGAAGATCAAAAAGCTGGAGCCGGTCCTGCTGCCAGGTGAGCGTCGGGGGTCCCGGCAGGTCTTGGGGGGGGGGTCCCCTGGGGGCGCTCTCCTCCTGTTTTCACTTTTCAAACTTGATCGGGTTAAACAGAATAAAGAATCTGACCACCGTGGGGGCGCGGGGGTGGGGGGCGCGGGAGAAAAAAGTTTCGCGTGGAACCGAGCATCACCCTCCGAAAGGGGCGCGTCTATTTGGGGTTCGTCCTGGGGAACGGGGAGGCCCTCGCAGAAAAGTGGCCCAGGGTGTCACCCCGCTTTTCCGTGTCTCCTGAAATGACCCCCCCCTTTTTTTCTTTTCCTCTTTTTCTTTTCTTTTTTTGGGGGGGGGGTTAATCCTCACCCCTGGGTATTTTTTCCTTTGATTTTTATTTTTATTGATTTTTTACAGAGAGGAAGGGAGAGGGACAGAGAGTTAGAAACATCAATGAGAGAGAAACATCGATCAGCTGCCTCCTGCACACCCCCTACTGGGGATGTGCCTGCAACCAAGGTACATGCCCTTGACCGGAATCAAACCCGGGACCCTTCAGTCCACAGGCCGACGCTCTATCCACTGAGCCAAACCGGCCAGGGCCCATTGATTTATTTTATTTTTATTTATTTATATTTTATGTATATTTTTTATTGAGTTTAGAGAGGAAGGGAGAGGGAGAGAGAGAGAGACACATCCATGATGAGAGAGAATCATGGATCAGCTGCCTCCTGCACGCCCCACACTGGGGATGGAGCCCGCAACCCGGGCCTGTGCCCTGACCGGGAATCGAACCCGAGACCCTTCAGTCCACAGGCTGATGCTCTATCCATTGAGCCACACCAGCCAGGGCCCATTGATATTTTTTTAGAGCGATTGCAAGGGAGGGGGAGAGACAGAGAGAGAGAGAGAGAGAAACATCCCTGGGTTGCCTCCCAAATTCACCCCGACACGGGCCGGCGGTGGAACCTGCCACCCAGGCACCTGCCCTTGACCGGGAATCGAACCCGAGACCCCTCCGGTCCTCGGGCCGGCACTCTAACCACTGAGCCACCGGCCGGGGCTGAACCTGCTTTTTCCCCAGCAGCCTCTGGGGACCGAGGCAGTGGAGTACTCTTTGCCCTGCCTGTCTGTATGGCCGTCGCTGTAACAGCATGAAAAGCCGCTTTTATTGCGCCCGGGTCTCTGTCAACCAGCAACGCAGCTTAGACCTTTGAATTCCTGACTTGGCGGTTGTTGTTTTGTCCCCGTCTCCCCGCCCCCAGGTGTCAGCTGTGTCTGCAGATGCAGGCGTTTTATCTAGAAAGGCCAGGGCCTTCCCCCAGAGGCCCCTCCACGCTGGGGCCGTCACCTTGTGGGAGGGGCTGTTCTGGGCTCTGCAGGGTGTGGATCCACATCCCTGGCCTCCACCCACTGGGGGCCACCCCTCTTCCACCACCTCAGTGACACAACCAGCGAGTCTGCAGCGTCCCCCAGACTGCCCCCCCATCCCCACCCCCACCCCCAGGGCGACATGTCCTTCCCGTGGAGACTCAGGCTAGAACAGAAGTTACTTTCGAGGCCCCTTGTCAGGCTTCGCTTCCCCTTCAGGGTTAGGATTTGACCCAGTACGTAGCGTGGTCCAGGCTGCAGATGCAGGGCTGGGTTCTTACAGCTTCGCGTTTACACCTAAGACGTGCTCATGGGAGTGTTAGCATCAGTGAGCTGGACGGACTTTTCCTCGGGGCCGTCTGTTCTGTAGAATTAGCCTGAAAACTCCCCTTTCTGCCTGAAGTCACCGTTCTCGGGGAAGACGCGAGCTCATCTCCTCGCTGTGCGCGGTTTACCCCCCTGGGTCGCAGCGGAGCCTGGGCCTCTGACCCGTGCTAACTTTTTGCAGGGCTCTGACTTGCAGGCACGGTGGCTCTGGCCCCGGCGTTCTGCGTGCGCTCAGCCTCGCCCTCCCTGAACTCCAGCCAGCCCTAAATTAGCGTGTCTGCCGCCTGCCTTCTCGTCTGTCCTTCCCACACGCTTCCCGGCTTCTTTCCGTGTGGCCACCCTGTCGTGGGCTCTGCTTCCTGCCTCGCCTGTCAGTCCCCTCTCCGACCCCCCCTGCCACCTCGCCGCCCCTCTGCCCTGCAGCCCCCCGTGAATCTAGGGGACGAGCGAAGGGGTGAATCAGTCAGAACCACGGGGAGCCTGGCGGTCACCTGGGCTCCCCATGCACCCGGGACAAGGAGCCATTGTTCCCGGCCGCCCTGCATGCTCTGCTTTGGCCCGGCGCCTGGGGTTCAGGGATATCCTACCCCCGTCGCCCAGAGCGTGAACTCGTAACCCAATAGGCAGATGAAAATCACAACACAAAATCGTTGTTTGTGTACGGGGACCGCGTGCTCCGTTGGAACGTAAGCCTGGATTTAAAACGAGCCTCATTTTACGAAGCAGAGAGAGAGAGAAAGAAAAAGAACCTGACAAATAATGTAGTTTAGACGGTGGTGTGTGCTCGCATGTTCAGCTGGTCTGGTTCGTGAACCTGCTCGAGGCGGAGGCCGTGCCTACGTCACCTTTGCGGCCCGAGGCCTACCCTGGTCTGCACGGGGATGTGGGGGGGTGGGACCGGGTGGGGCTGGGAGCGGCGGGTGCAGGACACAGCCCTCCGCCCCGTCTGGAGGCTGCGTGGAGTTGGCTCAGGGCCGGGCGCCCCGTCTGACCGCAGGCTCACTGTTCTGCCGGTACTGAACCTGTGGTCCTTGCTTCAGGCCGAGGAGCTAGAAGCTGGAGGAGACGGGGTCCTGCCCTGGGCAGTTTGTTCGCTGGGGAAAGGCTCCCCTGGAGGACGCAGGGGAAGGTCACCTGAGCCGGGTTTGGGGCGGGGAGGCCGTCGAGGGAAGGGCTCCCGCTCTGCGCCTGAGTGCCCGCCAGGCTCCCCGCGCTCAGGCTGCGTGTCGGTTCCGCTCTGTGTCTTCCCCCTGCGGGGCCAGCGGCATTTTCACGATAAGTCACGAGTCCGTTGATAGTGAACGCACTGATTGTCGGAGGCGTCTGTAATCAGATCGGGAGCACTCGGCCGTGGGCCGTCTGGAACGTGAAACCAGCCCTCGTTGGGTGGCCGTCGTGTGCATCTCTGCATATTCTGGCGCGCTCGGCCGCGGGGTGCCCTGTTCTGTGTCCCGCCTCGCTGTGAGCTGCTTCCCCAGTTGGGCCGCGCATCCCTTAGGCAGAGCCTCTCGCTTGGATGCCTTGTGTTGTTTCATACCTGCTTGAGGTTGGCTCTTAGAGGGTGACGGCAGGCTGGTTCTGTCGCACTTTGGCTCATGGACACGTCGCTGTAGAAAGAGCAGAGCACGCGGGCCGTGAGCAGTGCAGCCCCATGCGGCCTCTTAGCATCAGGCTGTGCCCACCCGAACCGTGAGCGTGTGGGCTCGCCACCTGCCTGGGCTGCCGCCGGGGCTCGGACAGCGTTGGGTTCCTCACTTCCTCCCTCCCACCCTCGTCTCTGTACCTAGCAGCTCCTGCTCAGAAACTGTTGGTGAAGCTCCATCGGTAAACTCGGCTTCAACAGGACCAGCTCTTCCACCTCCTTGATTTGCTAACACTCCACCCGCCGCCCTCTGCACTGCCTCTCTGTGCAGGAGTCCCCCCTCATCTGCGCTTTGCTGTCCGCAGTGTCAGCCACCCGTGCTCAGCCACAGTCTGAAAGTACTGCAGGGAACATTCCAGAAATGAACACACATTCCTGAGTTTTAAGTTGTGCACCAGGCTGAACAGCGTGGTGAAATCTCGCAGTCCGGCTGCTCCGGGAACATGAATCGACCTTTTGCCCAGCGTCCGATGCTGTCTGTGGCGCGTCACTTAGAGAGGGTGGTGTGGGGACTGTAATTGGGATCTTCGTGGCGCGGTAGGTGCTCGGGGCTGGTCAGCAAACGGGTTCTGTCTGTTTCTGTGAAAGGTTTGTACCCGCAGAAACAGACCGAGTGGATCCGCACCCTGATTCTTGCTTAAAAACGGCTCTGGGTCTGGTGGAGTCTTAGACCTTGAAGTGTAGAATTAATGGTAACCAGGCTTTAAGTAAGTTACGGAAAAGTATTCTTTTGAAACACATTTTCCCTTTTATTTTGGTTTCTTGCTTTTCTTTAATCTCCCCTTTTAACTCTAAATGATATTGTAGAGCTTTACCACCAACAGAGGGATCATTGGAGTGCGTAGGGAAACTCGACTTGGATTTATGGGGGATTCGTGAAATACATAGATCGCAGAGTTACTAAAGAGGTTAAAGCTGAACTCTTTCTCGTTCCTTAAAAAATAAAGACATCGGTTTGGGAGATGTTGATGGAATACAGATACTCCGTCAGATGACACGGTGCAGCAGGGGGTGTTGCCGTCCTCTCAGTGGGGGGCAGAGTGCAGGCGGGGTCCTCCGTGCCGGTCTCCCAAGTGGAGGTCAGCCTCGCCGACACTGACCGCTGTGAGGGTGCAGGTGCTCGCGGTTCCGACTGCCGTCACCCGGGCACAGTCCCTCCAGGTCACACGGCGCCCGGTGACAGGTTAGGGTGCAGAGGTGGCGCACACCATGACGGTTCTCTTTTCCTAAAGGAGAAATTGTCGTGAATGAAGTCAGTTTTGTGAGGAAATGCATCGCCACGGACACGAGTCAGTACGACCTGTGGGGAAAGCTGATCTGCAGCAACTTCAAAATTTCCTTCATTACGGACGACCCAATGCCATTGCAGGTGGGTGCTGCTCGTGTGCTGTTCGTGTCGAGGCCTTTGACCCTAAAAGTGAGTGAAGGCTGATGCTACCAGTGCGAGGTTAACGGGAAAAGAGTTAACGTGAACATAACTTTTTATTTCAGAAATTCCATTACAGAAACCTTCTTCTTGGTGAACATGATGTCCCTTTAACGTGTATTGAGCAAATCGTCACAGGTATGTGTTATTCTTTTTACATATACACTAGTGGTCCGGTGCACAGATTCATGCCCATTGAAAGGAAATTAATGAGAAGAAATCGGGCTCCCTCCTCCCTGGTTCCGGGGCGTGTGACCCGAGAACCGCAGCTCGGCAGCTCCTGCATTGAGCGTCTGCTCCCTGGTGGTCAGTGTGTGTTATATGTACCGGACAGTGAGACGGTCACTTAGCCTTTTATATATGTAGATATATATGTATATATTTATTGGTTTCAGAGAAAAAGGGAGAGGGAGATAGAAACATCCATGGTGAGAGAGAATCATGGATCGGCTGCCTCCTGCACGCCCCACACTGGGAATGGAGCCCACAACCCAGGCATGTGCCCTGACTGGGAACCAAACCACTGAGCACACTGGCTGAGCCATATTATTCTTTACTTAGTCCCTAAAGCTGATTCTACCCTGGAAGAATTGCTTGAAGATACTCAGATACTTGGGTTGGAAGTTTATTGGAAGTTTATTTCTGTAGGTTTTTCTTTCTTTCTTTTTTTGAGTCCAGGAACATTCATGAAAGACAGAGGTAAAAAAATTAAAGTGGAGCTATAAATTGAATCGCTGTTTACATTTTCTAGTATTTGTCCTCTTTTAAATTAAAATTGTAATCATAAAATGTATCTAGATGGTGGTGGTGGGTGTGCCAACAATCATTTGAAATACCTTCAAAAGCAAAGTCAAAATTGACCCCCCAAATAAGTACCGTGAGGGCCCAGGGCGGCGGGGCGCAGGGCGCGTGTCCTCCCCGTTGGCATCGCCCAGCACTCGTCAGGGCGCTGCAGGGAGAGTCACCGGGACTAGTGCTCTCACCCTAACCTTCTTCTCGCTCAGTCAACGACCACAAGAGGAAGCAGAAAGTCCTGGGCCCCAACCAGAAGCTGAAGTTCAATCCGACCGAGTTAATCATTTACTGTAAAGACTTCAGGATCGTCCGATTCCGCTTTGATGAATCCGGCCCTGAAAGTGCCAAAAAGGTACCGGCTTGTTTTGTTTTGGCTCAGCTGTGTCGGGTCCTGGGCTGTGCACCGTACAGATCCATTTCGGTTCTCGTGGAAGTTTTCACTTCTCAATTGCCCAGACTTTTTATTTTTAGGGGAATTTATCAGATGTCTTCCTAAGTAAATTCAAAGCCGAGGGTGTTAATAGAACTATTTCCTTGGACTCTTTAGCTGCTTTAAAATACTCTATATACTTTTTTTACCAGCTCCTAAAATAGCACAAAGTGTTGTGGAGATGAGTGCATCTTTTACAGAAGACCATTTCCGACTGGTTTCTTTCTTTTAAAAGACCGAAAAGATGGAGGTGTATTGTCTGAGGCGTGGTAAGACCTCAGAACTTGCTCAGCTCACCAGAAGTTGGACCCAGTTACGTAAATAAGGGTTAGGCACAGGCAGAGTAGTGGGAGGGGCCTACCAAGTCTTAGTGCTTCACAGAAAGCCAGTGCCTCAGTCTGAGTGACTTCCACAGGCAGCTGACGGCGAGGGCCTTGCACTGTCCTGTTTCCCCGGCCTCCGGGGGAGGGAGCAGCCAGGGCAGAAATCCCCACTTGGATTCCACGTTTTGGCTTTTGCCGAGAGTGGAACCCGAGGCCCGGTGCCTCCTGGTCCCGTCTGTAGCGCAGCACATGCAGCGACTAGTAATGGGGTCCGAGGAGAAGCCTGCCCGCACCTGGGGAGAGAGCCACAGGCTCCCAGTGCGGCAGCAAGGGGCGTTCTCTGGAGTGCGGTGGCCTTGGCCCCCCCAAAACTGGGTGTGTTTGTTTTCCATGACCGATAGGCTTACCACAGTACGTTTTTTGTTGATATCAAAAGGAGGCGTCAGCGATCTCAAGGCAGCTGCCTGCATTTGCTTTGGTCGGGAGGGGTAGATGTATTTTTAGAGTTAGAATCAACAGTGTCTTCACAGGAAGGCGGCAAGCAAGAGAGGGACGTCTGAAAGTGCATGGCCACGGGGCCAGAGTGTCCAGCAGAGGATGGTGGGTCTGTGGCTGACAGCCTGCAGGTGGCGTCTGTAAGACCACCAGTCGGCACCTGCATTGTTGAAAGTTCAGCGAGGCTGCTCTGAAGGCCCCTTTTAGCAATTTGGGGTTTTGGCATTTTAATTTGACGTGCCTATTCTTACATAGGAGGACTTTAGAATTAATTAGGTAGAAGACTATTTAAAATATTTTAGCTAAGTTACCCTTGAACTTAAATATGTGCTGGTAATTCAGTCGATTAAGGATCAAGATTCTGTTGATGAAAACCCTGACTTCAGAGTGTAGAATGTCAAGACTAGTGACAGCACAGAACTTAGGAGCCTGACTTAGAACAGGATATATTTTTAAAAATATTTTTTTATTGATTTCAGAGAGGGAGAGGGAGAGAGATACATCAATGATGAGAGAGAATCATAGATTGGCTGCCTCCTGCATGCCCCCCCACTGAGGACTAAGCCCGCAACCCAGGCATGTGCCCTTGGCCGGAATCGAACCTGGGACCCTTCAGTCCATGGGCCGATGCTCTCGCCACTGAGCCAAACCAGCCAGGGCAAGAACAGGATATTTTTAAAGAAAGAACTTGATACAGTGGCCCAGTATTTTTGCAGAAAGTTTACCTCGCTCCCACTCTCTACCATATCTTTCAGGCGACACTGTCAGTGACCGGGAATCAGAATTACCTGGCCTGCTCCTGAGCCCTCTAGATGCCTCGGTGGTCATTGTTGATGTCTGAGCAGTGTGCCGGTCTAGTTGAGAAAATAAAACATGAACAAGTGAAAATCAAGTAACAGTACAAAGTAGCAACATAAAGGGTTTCCCACATAAATGACCAGCTGCCAGATGAGTGACAGAGTCAGGGTGTCCCTTGTCCCCTTGCTGCTTGAAAGTGGTGGGTGCTCATTGAACTGTCCACGCAGCCAGCTGGTCCAGCTTTCTGGGCCCTGGCCCACGACCAGTGTCTGGCAAAAACCCTTTCCCTGCCGTCTTCACATATAAAAGCATGTTGCCGCAGACCCGGAAGAAGTACTCTTTGTCTGGGGTAGAGTCCTAAGGCGGGCCCCCGTGCAGGGAGAGAAAAGGCCCTGAGAATGTAAATAGAACACTTTCCCCTGACTTACCGTCTTCAAGCACAGAGGGTTCTGTCGCCTGTGGCTGCCAGAGCTTCGTTCCTTCCTGAGTTAATAGCAAAAATTCCCGCTTGCTTTTCTTTCAAGGGAAGGTTTGCATCTAAACCGAGGTAAGTGGGGAGCTCCAGATGGGCTCTACCCCCTGGAAGCGCGGAATGCTGCGTTTTCTCTGGGAATGCTGATTTTGTGCGTTGTTTTAAAATAACATGTTCAGAGTTCTCTGCTGGGTGAACTGTGTGATGCTTAGGGAGGACATTGCAAAATTAGAATAATTATGTATGCAAATGAGACCTACTTTTGAAAGTCCTCCAGACTTAGTGATGGGAGCTGGGCAGGGGGGCGGAGGCTGTTAACAGAGGGAGTGCGGGAAAGCCGAGGGAAGTGGGTTCCTGGCTCCCTTCTCTTCTCGGGACGCCCTAGACCAGCACCCAGAGCGCAGCCCAGGTAGCACGTGTAGGTGCCTGTCCGGTTCCCAGAGGTGCCCCTGCTCAGCCCTGTGAGGTCTGCACTCTCGTAACTCCTCTACCCAACACCCCGCTCAGTCGTGCCGCCCAGCCCACCACGGTGCGCGTAGACTGCGTCTGCCTCAGTGTTTATGGCCTTCTCTCCTGCCCATGCTCTTCGACCTAACACTTGTCTCTAACCCTCTGTGTGATGTGCCGTTTCTGCTCTCTGGCCATAAGAGCACACTCTAACCAATGACATGTGACTTTGGTGAAAACAAGGCCCGTGACGGCTTCCTGAGGGTCTCGGAGAGAGAGGTGCCGGTTGCTGGCTCGGAGCATCCATCTCCCTGTTGTATCAGTAACTCACTTTGTCGGCTGGGACTTTCAGTGCAGTGGCTGCTAAGCTCAGAGCCCCTCAGGAAGCTCCCGCAGAGACGGCCAATGCGGTCGCCAGGCCTCACTGGGCCTGCAGCCAGGGCCTGCTGGCTGCCCCTCCATCCCCAGCCTGCTCCCGTCCTCACTGCGCTCCTCTCCCTCCGCTGGTCTCCGCTCCTGCAGCCTCAGAGCGATCTGACTCCTCCTTTCTCATCCTCTTGTGGACGGGCTGTCTCCCCACTGGGATCCAGGCTTAATGAGGACAGGTTTGCGTCCCTCTTGCTCACGCAGCCTCCCCAGGGCTGGACACGGAGGCTCGGTCAGTGGCTGCTGAGTGAGGGCGATGCTGAGCTCACCGTGAGGAAGGGACTGACGGACGGGGAGGACAGCCTGTGTCTGACGCTGTGCTGACACTTGCAGCTGTGATGGGACGACCTTGGACGCGCAGCCACACCCACCGCCTGGTGGGGGAGCGGAGGGGAGCGGTCTCCCCAGCAGCGTGTGGCAGGTCAGACAGAGCGTGTGCAGAGGCCCCAGGGGGTGCTGAGGGGGAGGGGAGCCAGCTTGTGGAGCGTCAGGAAGAGGGACTCTGCTGTGGAGGCAGCTGGGAGCCACAGCGGATTGTATCCCGAGAGCAGACCTTCGGAGGAGAATTCTAGGTGCTGTGGGTTGTTTTCAGGACGTAGGGAAGCCCCAGCGATGCCATCAGGTGAGTGGCTTGCAGATGTGGCTGTGGGCGTGCAGAGAAATGGACAGAAATGGGAAGGGTCTCGGACGGTCGCAGGGCGCAGCTCTCAGTAGGTTTTGCCAGAAGAAGTGCTTTCAGGGAGCTGCTGAGCAGGTGAGGCTGCAGGTGCACTCGGAGCGCTGCTGTGATCGGTGGGACTCAGGCTGTGCTGAGGCCTGAGGACAAGGGGATGTTACACACGTTCCAGGAAGTGGGCTGTTCTTGTTGTTAGTCAACACTGAGAGAACAGTGACCTCCGTTTTCTTAGTTGTGCGTCTCAGTAAGACAGGAAGCATTCTGCAGAAAGGCTTCATTGGATTCTAAGCAAGAAGCTGACACATACCTACCAGTTAATAGCATTTGCATCAACCCCCCCCCCCCAAACTAACAACTAACACTTGCCTTGCTGGCTCGCTGTCAGCAGTGTATCATGCTGGCTTCATGCTTTTCCTTCTAGACGACAATCACTCTTTTCAGTAGGATCTCTGCTGTCCTCTTCTTGCGTTGTCTTCAGTTTCTTCCTTCTTGCTCACCCCCCACCATCCAGCCCAGGGCTTTGTCAGCACAGGGCCTTCTACCAGCAGCAGCTAAGAATGACGAGCAGCACATTTCACGTATGGCTCCCCCGGAGGCCAAGCGCGCAGTAGGGCGAGCGATTCCTGCCCGGCTGTAGCTGCGTCTCCATTTTGCAGATGCGCGTACTGAGGCTTTCTCTTTTTTAGGAGTGGGTGTGTCGCTGCCTTTTGGGAGAATGCGTCTCTAGTTTTCAAGGGTCATTTATTTGAATAAAATTACTTGCCTGTTAAAATTCAACTCAGCAAGCACTTGCTGCATACCATCTGCTCACTAAAGCTTAAACAGTGTCTTGGGGGCACAGCGGTGAGCGAGACACCGGCCCTAAGGGGCTCTTTCACATTCCAGGTCAACAGGAAACCGTGGAGATAAGTCTCTATGGTCACTGCCCCAAGATGCTCCCACAGCAAGGCCTGAATGTGCATTTCATTTACCTACGTGTGTTAACATGGAATTCTAAATGTAGAATCTTTCCTAGGTGTGCCTTGCCATAGCTCATTATTCCCAGCCAACAGACCTCCAGCTACTCTTTGCATTTGAATATGTTGGGAAAAAATACCACAATTCAGGTAAATATGCAAATATTACATATTGTGACTGTCACTTTGCATTGTGTCGATTTTATCCTATGTTCCCCGGGAGCCTCCTGCGACAAGGCCTTGGTGACTGTGGGATTGTCAGCTTCTCGCCTGGAGAGGAAGCCCTGTGGGCAGAGATGGGTGGGTCAGGCGGTTCCTTACACAGCGGCCGGAAGAGCCCGTGAGCAGCTGGAACAGGAAGCGGGTCCCTGTTTACCACGGCCTCGGCGTGTTTGTGACGGAGATGGACGCACCCTCCCTCTTTTAGTTTTTCTTTAAGAAAACTGGCAGGAAATGAAGAGATACTTGAAACGCATAATCCTTTCTGGCAAGGCGTGACTTCAGGAACTGAAGTGGTGGCACTTTTTAGTGGACTTCACAACAGGATGAGATTGACGGCAGGAACAGGCAGGGTTGTTTTTTGTTATTGTTTTTATTGATTCCAGAGAGGAAGGGAGAGGGAGAGAGAGAGAAACATCAGTGATGAGAGAGACACAACGATTGGTGGCCTCCTGCATGCACCCAACCAGGGCCAGGGATCAAGCCTGCAGCTGCGGCACTCGCCCTTGACCGGAATCGAACCCGGGACCCTTCAGTCCACAGGCCTACGCTCTATCCACTGAGCCGAACGCGCTAGGGCGAGGCAGTTTTTATAAATGTGAAATAGTTCTGGCCCTAGCCGGCTTGGCTCAGTGGATAGAGCGTAGGCCTGCGGACTGAAGGGTCACGGGTTTGATGCTGGTCAGGGGCATATGCCTGGGTTGTGGGCTCGATCCCCAGTGGGGAGTGTGCAGGAGGCAGCCGATCAATGATCCTCTCATATCATTGATGTCTCTATCTCTCCCTTCCTCTCTGAAATCAATAAAAATATTTAAAAAAATAAAATAGTTCTGTCCACATATCTGTGTCAGCAATGAATCACCAAGGAGGAGTCCAGATGGCCTTGTAATTCTGTACATTAGCTCTATATACTAATATAACTTTAATCAACCATTTTTTAAAGCCTCATAAAAGCATGGAGAGAAAACGAAGAGGGCATGTCTTACATGAGCCCCTTGTGGGTTAGTGACCACACAACCGCGCGCTCACTGAGTCACATGGTCTCCCCTCTTCACGGAAGAAAAGTAAATCAGTCACATATTTATAATGAAAGGTCCCTTCACCCCAGCATGGTCTGGGGGGATCTTATAAATTGTTAATTGTACTGGTCTTGACATTTTGTTGCCTCAAAACACATGGAAGTAATTTAGTAACCTGTAGGGTGAATGTACTGCAGTGTCACTACATTAAGTGCAGTAAGATGTAGGAACGGTACCTGCGGCTGCATGAGGCACAGCAGTCTCACTGCTTTAGAAGACCCGTGGGAAGTGTCTCCCACAGAGGACAGTGACCGCCACGCTGTCAGAACGGAGCCTTTTTCTCGGGCACAGTATTTATAGGGTGTGTGTGACTTAATTTTTCTTATCAAAATATAACTAATTGTAATCTAGACCTGATTTGTTAGGTTCATTTCTTAACGCAAAGAAACTCCCTTATTGTGGAAAAGCCGTGTGGGTCAGGAGGGTGTCCCATTGGGTCAGCCCCGAGCTGTCATGTGATCATCGGGTCACGGTCAGGGTCACGGTCCAGGACAGCAGCTGGAAGGGCTGTTTCAGGGGTGCGGGGGCGGTAGGACAGCCTCCGGTTCCCGCTCACACTCCTTTATGATCCAGGCCAATTCTTGCTGGTGCTTCTTTTCTGGTAGAAACGCGGAGCCGGGTACAGACCCTCAGCCTCTGCGCAGTGCAGTGCCGTGCGCCCCGCAGGCACAGGAGCTTCACTCTGCTGGGCTGACCTGCTGCTGCTTCGCTCACTGTCCAGTCTTCTTCCTCCAGCCCTGGGGGTCTCTGGGTTCACAAGACCTCAAGTAGTCTGTGCAGCCCAGAGCGCTTCCCCGGAATTGCCTTGTGCGCATCACTCAGTTCTCTGTATCTTCTTATGTATAGCTTGTCGATAACATTGATACACGATACGTAAAGCGTTCAGGAGCGTTTTATTTACATCCGCCAGGCTCCTCCTCCTCTGACAAGAACTTCGTAAGCCTGATGCTTGGCTAGGGCTTTGTGAAGGCTCCTCAGAGCCTTTGACACCTTCCGCGGCTGCTCTAAGATCGGAAGGAGCCTGAGACGCCCACACTCTGCAGTCAGAGGTCATGGCTGAGAGGGAGAGATGCCCAGTAGCACCCTGAGCCTCTGGGTGGCATCTTGGCTCCTGGGCCGGTTAAAGCAGTCCTTTCTGCAGGCAGGTCGGCGACAGAGCTGTGTCCACAGTGGGGTCTGAAGGTGGAGGGCGTCCCTGCCGTTCTCTGAGAGGAGCCTTAGCAGCCCTGGGCTCCCACTCGGAGCTGTTCTCCGAGCTTCAGCACCGCTTGAGCAGAGAGCATCCCCCAGACGCTCCGCAGTCACCCGGCCCTTCTGGGCGGTCCTGGAGCTCAGCGAGCTGCACGCACCCCCCGCGCACGGCTCGTCACCGAGGCCCGGCCGGGAACAATGGTGCCTTTGAATGGAAAGGAGCCACGAGGCTGTTTTCATCCGTCAGCTGATCAGTGGGCAGATGATGTCTGGAAACACAGACTCATCCTTGTTGTGAAGTGATAAGAGGTCAGGTGATGCTCAAGGATTGCAAGCCCCGTGCGTGACCTTCGGCCCCAGCTGGCAGCTCTGGTCAGCGACGCACTCGAAACACTGGCCTCCCAGCAGGACATGCTCGTCTTCAGGGAGGTCCGTCTTCCTCCTGGTAACACGGCTCAGGCCACACTCCCTCAGCTGCCTGTGGGAAGCCACGTAGAGGGCACAGTTCACGGGAAACGTGCAGGGACTCGAGGTTGGTTGCTTGTCAGTTCTCCGATCCCCAGTGCAGCTGTCGATGTTGCGCTCGGTCCTCCTTCTCCTGCTCACTGGAGGCTCCTGACCCACCACGTGCGTCCGAGTCCCTGGCTCGGGCCCAGGCCCGGGTTCGAGCCCCGCGCTGACTCGCCCCCTCGAGCATCCGAATGGTCACAGCTCTGCTTTCGCCTTCTTCGCGCATCTGGTTCCCGCAGTGCTATCAGAGCCGGGCTTTCTTTCCCTCCAGAGGGCTCTCGCCTCAGGCGGTAGCGAGGGCTCAGCCTGGTGCACTCACGTCTGAGATTTCAAAACACTGACGGGTTGGGTTTGACTCAGCTGGGGGTGAGCCGCCAGGCTGCTGACAGCTCTCAGAGTGTGAGTGCGCTGCCCGCTTCTGGTTGGCTGGCGATGGTCTCGTGTGGCGAGGACGCGGGGGCAGCATTGAATGGTGGTGGTGACAGGACGTCGTCTGTGCCTGGTCCTAGTTCGGTGATGCTTGCTGGGGGTTTCTGATAAACTCCCTCTCAAGTTAAGGAAATTCCCTTGTGTTCTGATTTGCTCACGTTTGAGGTTTCAGTCACAAGCAGGTGTTAAACTGTCAGATGCTCCCTGGGCTCACAAGCCCATCACGCGGTTTCCCCCCTTCACCTTGGTCACGTGGACGTGCAGTACGGAGTCTCTTCCTGTGGGTGTGGTTCTCGGACCGCTGTGTCCTCGGGCACCGCCTGGAGATGCCGTGCAGGGGCCGCGTGCTGGAGCGTCTCCAGCCTGCATGCTGCGGGCCAGCGCTTCCGTTCTTCAGAGTCAGGGCCAGTGGGCTCTTACAGCGGGGTGGGGGGTGGGGAACCTTTCTCCTGCCAGGGGCCACTTGGATGCTTATGACATCATTCAAGGGCATACAGAGCTATCAGCTGAAAAATGAGCCTGCTCTGTTTGGTCAGTTAACTCACCCTGGTGCCTTGGCAGGGCCAGACCAAGCGATATCCTGGGCCTTCTGCGGCCCGAGAGCTGGACGTTCCCCACCCCTACTTTACGGGATAGAATTCCAGATTCCTCGCCGGCACGAAGACCCTTCATAACCCAGAGTCTCCTGTCAGTGAACACGGTGCTGGAGTGGGCGTGGCCTCCTCGTGGACGAGGGAGGAGAATGGGGTCAGGGGGCAGTGGGAAGGCCAGGTCAGGCCAGCTGTTGACAAGGGCAGCGCAGCAGTGTCAGGGCGTCAGCCGGGAGGCCCGCCCGGTGCAGCCCACCCCTGAGACGCTGGACCAGAAAGGTGTGCGGGCTGCCACCAGATTGGCAGGAGGCGGCTGACTGGTGGGCATCTTCCTGGGCTGTGGGTGCTCCCAGGAGAGCAGTGCTCCCTGGTGGGGAGGGCTCCTGCTCCGGAGCTTCAAGCCCGGGCCTTTCTGCTGAGTCCCGGGGGCCCGGCTCTCCGGTGCAGGGCGAGGGTCCCTGTGGGCTCGGCTCAGGAAAGCAGCGGACGGGGGAGACGAGGACTGTGCAGCGAGCCGCAGCAGCGGTGGGAAGTCTGTTAGAAGGTGATGGTCTGACGGCCTGGGCCCAGAGATGCCGGCTGCGGGCATTTCTCTTCCAGGCAGCACGTGGAGAAAAGGAGCAGTGACCTGGATTTCGCCCGATTTGGGGCAGAGGGACGAGGGAGGCTGGTGAACGGCTTCCGGAGAACAGGAGGCAGTAAAGGGAGAGGAAGCACTGGGGCAGGTGGCCAGGAGGAGAGAGGAGGGAAAATGCTGGTGTGGCCCAGAGTGACCGGGAGGCATTGGAGACGGAGCCGGGACAGGGAAGGTGCTCCGGGGGGGACAGGGCGAGGACAGCACGGGTGGGTGCTCTGACAGAGGGCGCCCAGCCAGGCTGCTAGGAGGAGGGAGACACCCTTGGAGGGACTCCCAGGACAAGAGGAGGAGGTGCCACCTGAGGGTGTTTGCGGCAGGAGAGAGCACAGGCGTGTTGGAGACGGGACTGTGAAAGCCAACCTAATAACGCTGCTTTTTCTTGTAGCCAACACACTCAACGGGATCCCCACGGGCGGTGGCGGCGGGGCCGGGGGTGGCAGCAGCCAGAAGACGCCCCTCTTTGAGACGTACTCCGACTGGGACCGCGAAGTCAAGCGGACGGGCGCCTCCGGGTGGAGGGTCTGCTCCATCAACGAGGGCTACATGATATCCACGTGGTGAGTCCGGCCCCATGCATGACAACCAGGCTCTGTGCATGGCAACCAGGCTCCATGCGTGACAACCAGGCTCTGTGCATGGCAACCAGGCTCCATGCATGGCAACCAGGCTCCATGCATGACAACCGGGCTGTATGCGTGACAACCAGGCTCCGTGCATGACAACCAGGCTCTGTGCATGGCAACCAGGCTCCATGCGTGACAACCAGGCTCCATGCATGACAACCAGGCTGTATGCATGACAACCAGGCTCCATGCATGGCAACCCGGCCCCATGCATGACAACCAGGCTCCGTGCGTGACAACCAGGCTCCATGCATGACAACCAGGCTCCGTGCGTGACAACCAGGCTCCATGCATGACAACCAGGCTCCGTGCGTGACAACCAGGCTCCATGCATGACAACCAGGCTCCATGTGTGACAACCAGGCTCCATGCGTGACAACCAGGCTCTGCGGTCATGGCTCACTTCAGGCCGTGGCTCACGGATAGTTGTTATAATGCTTTAACGGGTATTTTATAGTGAAGATAGGGCTTTTTTTCACATAACAACAGCACCACTGAAAGAGTTGGCCAGCCGTCCTACTGTCGTGGGCAGTCCAGTCCATGTGTGTGTGTGTGTGGGGCGGGGGGGGGTTGCATCTTGTCAGTGTCTTTTAGGGCCAGTGTGTCCAGGTCAGGAACACAGTGAGCTGTTGGGGAGGACTCTCCGGCCTTGAGATGATGACAGTCTCCGCCCACCCTGTTAGCTGCCATTTTTTTTTCCCCCCAAAACCTGGTCATTTGTTCTGTAGAGTTGTCCACCTTCTCGCTCTTGCTGGTTTTTCCCAGGGGTGACCTCCAGTGTGTTCCTCTGTCTGCTGTCCTCCCTGTAACATGGTAGCTCCATCCAGAGGTTTAATTGGGGATTCATTAGATTCAGGTTCAGGGCTTTGGCAAGGCGCTCAGGGGGTGGCGCTCTGCACCTCCTGCTTCATCCGTGGATCTGGGTGTCGCTGTGATGTGACTGGCAGAGGGCCCAGTGGCAGCCGGCCCGGCCTGTGTTGAGGAGCACCCGCCTGGGCTGGCGAGGCCTGCCTGGCCCCCTGCCCGGCCAGTGGAGGAAAGAGAGAGGCCGTGTCTTAAGTGGCACTGGGCTGCCCATGAGTACCTGCTGTCTGATGGGGTCCTGGAGTCGGCCTGGCTTCGGATGGGGGAGGAGGGTGGAGGGAGGAGGGAGGGCGCTGCAGCTTCTGGGTAGATTGGTGGGTTTGCTTTGTTCATGTGCCGTACCTGTCAGGAGGGCAAAGGCGGGCATGCTTTTCAGGCCTGTTTGCTTGATAGTCATTCTGGGTAACTTTCCAAATTCTCCTTTGGGTTTTCCCTGCTGTCCTAGGAATGTCCTGGGAATGGGCCACATCAGACATGCTTCCTGCTGAGATGTCTGGGACGGTCCGTGCCCTCACGGTGCCCACTGTATGGCTGCGAAGTGGGGCGTACAGTCCGTGGGGAGGAAGGTGTGATGACACGTGGGTGACAGGGCACCCTGCCCGCCCAGAGCATGGCCCTGATGGTGTGTGCTTTCCCCCTCAGCCTTCCGGAGTACTTTGTGGTGCCCAGCTCCTTGGCCGACCAGGACCTGAAGACCTTCTCCCACTCCTTCGTTGGGAGGAGGATGCCGGTGAGTGATAGCTGGTGGGTTTCAGAGCACGGGTGCCCGTCTCCCGTCCGGTCACGTGAGGCTCATGTCTCCCACCCGGTCACATGAGGCTCTGCCTCCCACCCGGTCAGTGAGGCTCATGTCTCCCACCCGGTCAGTGAGGCTCTGTCTCCCACCCGGTCACGTGAGGCTCATGTCTCCCACCCGGTCACGCGAGGCTCATGTCTCCCACCCGGTCACGTGAGGCTCTGCCTCCCACCCGGTCAGTGAGGCTCATGCCTCCCACCCGGTCACGTGAGGCTCATGCCTCCCACCCGGTCAGTGAGGCTCATGCCTCCCACCCGGTCACATGAGGCTCATGTCTCCCACCCGGTCAGTGAGGCTCTGTCTCCCACCCGGTCAGTGAGGCTCTGTCTCCCACCCGGTCAGTGAGGCTCTGCCTCCCACCCGGTCAGTGAGGCTCTGTCTCCCACCCGGTCACGCAAGGCTCTCTTCCGTTCCAGCTCTGGTGCTGGAGCCACTCGAACGGCAGTGCTCTCGTGCGGACGGCCCTCATCAAGGACCTGCTGCAGCAGCGGAAGATCGATCAGAGGTGGTCACCATACAGTGAACTGCTGACCAACGACACTAGTGGGGACTGGTAGTCGGTTAGCTCACCCCAGGCCTAGAGAAGAAGCCTCAGAGGCCTGTCAGCTCATCATGTCCAAGACCAACTCCAGACGCGGCCACCGCACCGCTCCCAGCTCCTCTCAGAACCTGGGGTCCCTCCTGATGCCTTTCTTTCTCTTTCCTTCCTGTGTCCGAGCCATCGCCTCCTCCTGTCACTTCACACACGTCCTCTCAGCTGGGCTCTGCCACAGGCCCTTTGCACCAGCTGTCCCTCTGCCTAGAACCCTTTCCCCCAGCTCTGTGCACAGCTCCTTGGGCTTGGCTTCAGTGTCGGCTACACAGGGGCTTTTCTAACCGCGGGACGGGGACTCGCCTGCGCTCACCTGATCACACCACCCTCGGCGCTCACCACCGCCCGCCAGTTCCTCATTTACCCCCACCCCCTCCCCCAGGGAGGGAAACCCATGGAGGTGGAGGCCTGGCCAGTCTTGCTCATCTCTCTGTCCCCAGCTCTGAGGGCAGTGATGGGCTCAGAGTAGGTGTTCAGGAAATGATGTGGAATAAACCGGTGACGAGTGACGGAGGGTTTTGTCTCCATCAGGATTTGCAACGCGATAACCAAGAGTCACCCGCAGAGGAGTGATGTCTGTAAGTCAGATCTGGATAAGACCCTGCCCAACATCCAAGACATACAAGTGGCTTTTGTGAAGCTTAAACAGCTATGTGTTAATGGTAATTTCTTTGTTATTTTATATATATATGTGTGTGTGTGTAGTGAATGGGGGAATACAGCATTGTGTGAGGCATGTCAGGAAAAGTGATATTCCTTAAAATTCTAGAAATAGATTTATTTAAGTAGAGGTTTATTGAAATGTTTGTACAAATTATTACTGTATGAGAAGGTCAGGAGCGCTTAGAGAATGAAGTACAAACAAATGCTTTCTGTTTGGGAGGGAAAATGAACCCAATAAATCGCCTTCAAATCATGACAGGTAGGGTGGGTGCTTTTATGGAAAAACAACGTGCTGCCTTACAGACACTGAGATGTAAGCCACTTTTAAATAGTAAAAATGTGTGTGTGTGTGTGTGTGTGTGTGTGCGTGTGTGTGAATGTAACCACATGCCTATATAGTTATGTGTTCATCACAGAGCCCTTTGTATGTGTGTGTGTGTGTGTGTGTGCGCGCGTGTGTGTGTGAATGTAACCACATGCCTGTATAATTATGTGTTCATCACAGAGCCCTTTGAAGAGACTGAAGAGAGGTGGCTGTCCTCACTGGAAGGTACTCGGTGGCTGGAATATGTGAGGTTTGTACAACCACTTTCCCCTTTTCTTTGACTTTATATTTGAAATAATTACAGACTCGCAGGAGGTGCAAAAATAGTACAAGAACCAGCATCTTCCCAGCCTCCCCATGGCCGCTTCTTCCGTGACTCGGCTGCGGTCCGGCAGCCGGGAAATGGACAGGGTACAGGCGGCAGGCTCCTCACTTCAGCAGTGTAGACGCTCGTGTGTGTGCGTGTGTGTGTGTGTGTGTGCGCGCGCGTGTGGTTCTGTGCGCTGTTACCACATGTCTAAATCCCTGTGACCACCGCCACAGTCAAAGTACAACCCCATCAGCGCAGGCTCCCTCCTGCCCATTTAGAGTCGCACGCCCACGCCCCTCCCACCCCGTTCCCTGGCAGCCCCTGCTCTCTCTCCATCTCTGTCGTCTCGTCATGTCAAGAATGTTGTCTAAATCAACTCCTTCCTTTTCTAAAAGATCAATGAATTTCCTTGATATGAAAACCAGACTTTTCTCTGTTGAAGAATCACATAAATACTGAAGAAATCCATAAACGTTATTGAGAATACAAACGTGTACAGTGAAAGATTAGATTTGCTTGATTTCAAGGACTTTAAAAAAAACACCTTTGTAGTGGAAATGGGGTTTTTCACAGAATTTTTCCTCCCCTCCCCAGGGCATTCCTGAAACATTCAGCAGAACTTGTGTACACGCTAGAAAGCAGGCGAGTCTCTGTCGTCCTCCAAGGTAACTCAGACTGTGGTCCGTCACCCGCCAGCGTGGGCACCACCGTCCACGTTCAGTCCGTGTCTGATCTCCGCCATCTCCTACTGACGACACTGCCACCACACACATGCCCGGTCTCCCACGCCAGAGGGAACCAGTAGCACAGAGACTCCCGGGGGACAGGAGGAGGCAGCTTCCTGCCCGGCGTGCGGGGGAAGGTGCTCCCGACCTCCTGGAGTCACGCAGTGTGTCCGTCTGGGCCACGCACGCTTTCTCTCTAATCGTGCCACCACCTCATTCATGCAGATGGTGGTGTGAGTGCTCGGCTCCGGCTCAGTGGGCCTCTAATCGGATAGCCAGGAATGTGAATTTTGTCTGCTGATTAGCAGGAATGATCGCAATATAAAACCTTTCCGTTAGCAAAACGTACTTCTGTATTGAATAACTCCAGAGCCAATAGAGTTTCTAAGCTACGGATAAGGTCTGATCCACCATGAGCTTCCTGATAACACACTCAATTCACGTTGCGTAGGAGGTGAATACCCAATGCTGCCGAGGCTCTCAAATGTAACGGCTTCAATAAAGATATTTAAAAGCCTCGGGAGCCATAGTAGCGCACGCCTTCCAGTCGCGGTTGGCGGTACCGTCAGTGTGAGCTCGGGCACGCGGAGCCCGTGGGGAGTCTCCTCGCTCGCCGGTGGGTGTCAGCCGCTGCACGGTTCCACTCGGCACGTTCCCTGGCCTTTGCTGTAATACAAATGGCCCGCGCTTGACTGTCTTACAGATGTGTTTGTTTAAAGGTTATTGCGGTATAACTTACATACTATAAAATTCACCCTTTCCCAATGTAGAAGTTAGTAAGTACACAGTTTTAGAGGTTTTTTGTTATTTATTTATTTAAAAAAATTTTTAGGCCTACTGGGAGTAGCTACCCCCCTCACAGAACACTGACTCGCCCGCTCCCTTTCCTTCCCGTTCTCTCCGCCTTGCTCTGTGTGGTCCTCATTTTCTCTCCGTTTTCTTGACAGAGGAGGAGGGAAGAGACTTGAGCTGCGTTGTTGCGTCCCTTGTGCAAGTGATGCTGGATCCCTACTTCCGGACAATCCCTGGGTTCCAGAGTCTGATCCAGAAGGAGTGGGTGATGTCGGGGTACCAGTTCCTGGACAGGTGCAACCACCTGAAGAGGTCGGAGAAGGAGGTAACGCAGCTCATGCTGACGGCCCGTCTGCGGGGCGAGATGTTCCCCTGGGAGGACGGGGCTTTCTGTTTCTATTTTTAATACATTTTCATTGATCTCAGAGGCGGAGGGAGAGGGAGAGAGAGAAACATCAGTGATGAGAGAGAATCATGGACCAGCTGCCTCCTGCACATCCCCCACTGGGGATCGAGCCTGCAACCCAGGCAGGTGCCCCGACTGGGAATCGAACTGTGACCTCCTAGTTCATAGGTTGACGCTCACCCACTGAGCCTCACCGGCTGGGTGACGGGGGAACTTTTTAAATGCTGCACGTAACACGCTGCAGCTCGTAGGCCAGGACTGACGACGGGATTCGAGCCCACGTGGGGGATGTGCTGGAGGTCATTGTCGCTGCACAGGTGGAACCTAAAGAAGTGGCTGTGGAGTTTCTCTAAGTCGAAAATACTTAAAGAAAGGCGTTCACTCTTCCGCAGAGCAGGTGGCCAGCACCTTAGATTGTTGAAAACCCCGCTTTGGAATGTCACGTTTTCGTACCGTGGGCGCCTGTTACGAATGGAGGCGTGTCGCCGACGCACTGTGCCCGGCCGCAGTCCCAGGCGGGGCTTTCCTCGTCTGCCACAGAAACATTCCAGGGCCCTGTGACCGCCCTGACCAGTCAAGGGTGCTGCCGCTGCCCGGGGACACGGTTAAAAACGGGAACAGAATGGAAGTGCAGAGGGTTACGCTGGTCACGGCTGGGGGTCAGTGCTGCCTCGGATCCCTAGCGGAGCTGCGGGCGGCCCTGCCAGGGTCTTGTCGCCGGCTGTTTCAGGAGGCACAGCTGGCTGTCCCTGGGGCACGGCCTGGGCCTGTGGCTTATGGCCTGTGGCCTGTGGCCAGTCATTTCCTGAAACTCGGGGCGGTTCTGGAAGCCGCGCCTGCAGGGCCAACCAAAGCTGTTTATAGAAGCTGGTTTTGGTCTGGGTGTCCCGTGGGTTTTTTGTTCCCAATCAGTGTGTCCAGGCGAGGCTCCCACACATTTCCCTGTTCCCCGTCCTGTGGACAGACTGCCCGCCGTGCGTCCTCCCGCGTCGCACGCCTCAGGCAGGTGCGGGCCTCGGTGCTGGTCCCTCGAACGAGCTTCCCGGGTGTGACGTGAGCTGCTGCCTCATGTCCTCAGATCCTAGCTCAGCGGGGGCCGGGCTGTGGGCCAGGGGCTCTGTTAGTTGTGTCTTCCTCCGTCAGGGATTAATTTGGAAGGAAGTGTGTGAAGGGAGGGACGGGTTGGTAACCCACTTGTGGTTCCCCGTCCAGTCTCCGCTGTTCCTGCTGTTCCTGGACGCCACCTGGCAGCTGCTGGACCAATACCCGGCCGCCTTCGAGTTCTCCGAGACCTACCTGGCCGTGCTGGGCGACAGCACCCGCATCTCCCTGTTCGGCACCTTCCTGTTCAACTCGCCGCACCAGCGGGTGAAGCAGAGCACGGTGAGGACACTGCGGCCGTGGCTGCGTTGTTGCTGACACTTTATTGAGAGCGACTGGAAGGACAGGTGGCCGTGCATTTAAAATGCATCCTTTAAACGATGCCTCCTGCCCTGCTCCCGGGCTGGGGTCCAGGTACCGCGGTCACTGGACAGGTGACGGGGGCTCTCCACTCAGGTAGATGGCAGCGGCTCCATCCAAACGCAGTTTACTTTATTTTATTCTTATTTTTCATTTTAAAAAAATCTGTATTGTTAGAAAGTATTGTGGAAATATTACGTACGTCTCCTGTTTACGCCCATGGAGCCCTCCAGCCCACCCCTGCCCCCTGCCCCCGCCCCTTCACCACCCTGTTGCCCGTGTCCATGGGTTATGCATATCAGCCAAGACAGTGTTACACCTGACAGGTAATGCCATGAATGTATGGCCATGGGCTTACTGGGTGAGATGCTGCAGTTATAAAACACCTTGGACGGTTGTGGTATCACGTGCGTGAGATCTTACTTCGCATAGCACATCCCCGTGGCCCAGGGTCCAGCTTCCTTCCGTCTTCAGGAAGAGAGCGCGCTCGCTCACGCAGCGGGTGACCTGTCCTCGGGCCTGAGGTGCCCGGACGCCTCTTCTCTGGAGGGAGACGTGCCGCGCTCGTGGGCTGCGTGGCTCGGGGTCCGACAGCGCTTGTGTGGTGACGCACGAATGGCCCATCCGAAACCAGGAACTCGTGCGAGACAATCTTTGTATCTTCTTCAGAGATTCAAACATTTTCTCTTGCAGGAATTTGCTATAAGCAAAAATATCCAGTTGGGTGATGAAAAGGGTTTAAAATTCCCCTCGGTGTGGGACTGGTCTCTCCAGTTCACCGCGAAGGACCGCACCCTCTTCCACAACCCCCTGTACATCGGGAGGAGCACGCCCTGCGTGCGGAACAGCTCCGTGAAGGCCTTCAAACGGACGAAGGTAATGGCGCGTGCACTCCCAGACACTCCCAGACACTCCCTGTCCAGACACAGGCATTAGAAGTGACCTCCCTCCCAGGACGAGTCTGCCAGGGCAGACTGCGGGATCGTGCACTTTTTGCCCGACTTGACTCTACGTGGGCTTTCCTCCTCGGCACCTGAGGCCCACGGAGCCCTGGGCAGCGTCCGAGAGTCAGCAGATCACAGCTCTGAGCCTGGAGGCCCCGCTCCCGAGACCCGTCCACTCGGCCTCTTGTTCCTTCTAGAATCAGCCAGGGTGGATTTGTTCCAAGCCAGAAATCTTAGAAATTGGCACTTCAGCAAAGTAATGGGTAGATACCAGCTCCCACCCCATGCAGGCTCGTGGCGTCAGGCCTGGGAAAGCACAGCCACGGTGGAGGAGCAGCGCGAGGGCAGGGACAGATTCAGGCCGAGATCCCACCCGTTTCCCGTGGCACCGAGGGCGTGCTTGCCGTGGCACCGAGGGTGTGCGTGCCGTGGCACCGAGGGTGTGCTTGCCGTGGCACCGAGGGTGTGCGTGCCGTGGCACCGAGGGTGTGCTTGCCGTGGCACTGAGGGTGTGCTTGCTGTGGCACCAAGGGTGTGCGTGCCGTGGCACCGAGGGTGTGCTTGCCGTGGCACTGAGGGCGTGCTTGCTGTGGCACCGAGGGCGTGCCGTGGCACCGAGGGCGTGCGTGCCGTGGCACCGAGGGTGTGCTTGCCGTGGCACCTTTGCTGTCTTTTAAAGGGAAGCCGGGACCACAGTGCTAACCTCTCTCTCCCGCACAGAAGAACTACAGCTCCACCCTGCGGGGGATGCCGGCCTCGCTCAGGAACGGACTCCTCAGTGACCAGGAATCACTCCCGCGGAGGAACTCCCTGATCTTACAAGTGAGGCCGGACCCGCCTCCGCACGCCCAGGGCCAGGATGGCGGCCTGGAGCAGTTCTTCCGGGAGTGGCGGTGCAAACCGGCCGACCTGCACGGCGTGCTCCTGCCCCATCTGTCGGCCACGCACATAAAGCTCTGGAAACTGTGCTACTTCCGCTGGGTCCCCGAGGCCCAGATCAATCGTGGGGGCTTCGTCACCGCCTTCCACCGGCTCTCGCTGCTGGCCGACGAGGTGGACGTGCTGAGCAGGACGCTGCGGCAGCACCGGGCCGGCCCGCTGGAGGCCTGCTACGCGGAGCTGGACCAGAGCCGGATGTACTTCCGGGCCCGCGGCCCGCACGACACCTCGGGGACGCCGGAGTTCCTCTCCTCCTCCTTTCCCTTCTCCCCCGTCGGCAACCTCTGCAGGCGAAGCATTTCGGGGACACCACTGAGCAAGTTTCTAAGCGGGGCCAAAATCTGGCTGTCTACGGAGACACTGGCAAACGAAGACTAAAAAGTATTTTCTGAACATTCTGAGGAGCTAGGAACGTTTTTCCTCTGAATTAAGTCGCTAATCTAGGCATTTGAAGCCCTAATAATTGTATATGTGAGAATAACCGTTGAGATTTGCACTAATGTTGAAGAACATGCCGAGTCGTGCTTCCCTCACTGTTTTTAGGAGACAGGCGTACATTTTGGTCTCGATGTCCTTTTTCTGTCGTCCTAGGTCCGGCTCACCTGCTGCTTCGCAGGCAGGCATTCCACACTTACTACTGTGATCACATGAACCAGGTTTTGTCCGCACCCACTCCCCCGGCTGCCTGGTGAGGGGTACCTGATCCTCAGATGAGCAACCCAGAGCAGCACAGGTCAGGAGAGCATGAAGTCAGTGTGTAGCCGACGTTCAGGGAACAGCGCTAACCCCAGCCGGCGTCCGTAGGTATCGGTGTCTTTTTCTGGTCACTTTGTCGTCTCTGGTTGGACTCACCGGGGTCAGTGTCCAGCACTGTAACTTACTCCATCACTTTGGGACCGTAGATCACTGTGTCTTAGTCGGGCGTTTGCCCGCACCTTCTTAGGACTAACCTTAAAACGATACGCACTGTGAACTCTAAGAAGCATTTGCTGTAGATAAGATAACGGACCTTAGAAGTGAAGTGCCTTTGACGCTAACATGAAGGTCTGAACACCACAGTTCGATGTCACTTGTTTGTGCAGTTAGGGGGTTCAGATCCCACTGCATATTGGAACAGGCTTCTCACCCCGAGTTCGTGCCGACAGGCATGAGCCCTGAAGCCACGTTCCGTCCCCCCGCAGTCCCCGAGGACACAGCAGGTCTGTGGGGCCCAGGCCTGGGGGGAGGGGCCGGCGCCATCCACAGAGCCACCCCCAGAAGGAGGGCTGTCCCCCCGTGTGTCCAGTGTGGTCCACTGTTGGCACTTTCTCTGGGAAATAACTCATGGGGTCACACAAGTCCCTCCTCAGACAAAGTCCTTTTTTATTTTTAATATTTTAAAATTAATTTCAGAGAAGAAGGGAGAGAGAGCAAAACATCAATGATGAAAATCATTGATCGGCTGCCTCCTGCACACCCCCCATTGGGGATCGAGCCCGCAAGCCAGGCACGTGCCCTTGACTGGAATCGAACCCGGGACCCTTCGGTCCGCAGGCCAACGCTCTATCCACTGAGCCAAACCAGCCAGGGTTCAGACAAAGTTTGTAAACACTTAGGAGTAGAGAACAAGAGAAATAAAAATGTCTACTCAGAATCCTGCCATTTTAGTAAATGGCAAGAGGCCTCTACACCACCCCCCGCCCCTTCTTCTGACAGCAGTATCCAGAGGGGACGGGCGGAGGTGCATCATTGGTCTAAAGCGCCCGCGCGAGAGCCAAAGCCGAGTGGTCAGAGCCCCGCTCACGCAGGCGGGGACGTCAGCACCAGGCCCCCAGCACCCTCATTCCGCTCAAAGGATGAATGTTTCCAAGTTTGGCTGTTACTTTGTTCAAACTGCCGTCCTGAGCTTTTACACATTTTTTATAGAACAGCGTTTAGTTAGCTTATTTCCTTTTCTAAAACAGGTCTTTTCAAAAGTCTGTTTTACCTTTTACGTCACGAATAGGCGTTTCTATTGGATTACCTGCCTTTTATAAATTGTTAGGTAATGTGTCTGGAATCAAAGGGACAGAAGTTCCTCCAGTGTCGTAGGAGACTCGTGGACACACCCAGTGTTCCTGCGGTTCGCTGCCGAGAGAAAAGGGCTTTTCTCCGTGGACATAAATACAGTCACTGCCATTAAACACTTCGTAGTCCTGGTTGGGAGGCTGCCCCAGCGCCTGCAGGACACCGCGAACGCCCTGCCGTGGGCGCGTCCTGACTCCCCCGTCCTGAAGCTGCTTCCTTACGGTGACAGAGCGCGAACTTGTTCCCGTGGCGAGGGCTCCGGCGTCCACCTCTCGTTTTCTCCCCTTCACACATTTACCCCAACTCCCTCAGTCATGTTTTGATTTGCAACTTAACAACTAGGTACTGTTAACACTGTTTCAGAGAGGAAATGTGCGTCCGTTTGTGTGATAATCAAGTGTAAAGTGTGGTTTTCCATTGTATTTTGCGGGACAGTTGTTGTGTCATGATTATTGTGCCACAGCTCACTGGGCATAATATGAAGAACAACTAACTAGCAGCCTCAGTCCTGGCCCTCGCGCGGCCTGGCACCTCGGAGCACCGCGGACGGGCGACAGGGCCCCGGGGTGCCGTGCGCCGTGCCAACGCGCTCCCCCCTCGGCCCGCAGCCCTGCGTGCGAAGCCTGGGCCGCGCTGTCACCAGCCTGGACTTCCTGGTAGGAACTTAGAGATGTACAATGTCTTACTGTTACTTCATGATGAAACCAATTTTAAAACCAAAAATGTCTAACTTTATTTAAGAGAAGTATATTAACCGGGCTAACGGGTGGGACCATCGTGCACACCCGTCAGCGGCCGGCCTGCTGCAGCCGTAACACAAGCAGCTGAACTGAACTTAGAGAAGGCGCACCCCTTTGTGCCTGGAGTGGACTGACTTGAGGTGAAGTAGAGGAGCAGGAAGGGAGGCCTGTGCAACAGGACGAATGTGAGGGGAGTTCCGACTGCGAATAAACTCCACAGAACTGCTGGTCGTGGTCTCAGTGTGACGTCATCTCTGAGAACAGTGGCTCAGGAAGCCAAGGCATTTCCTTCCAGCCGTCTGCGTGCGCGCGCGTGCGTGTGTGTGTGTGTGTGTGTGTGTGTGTGTGTGTGTGAGAGAGAGAGAGATACAGGGGGAGAGATGCACTCAGCATTCCTGCTTCTAAAGCTGACAGTGATCCCTGACATCTTTTTAAAATATATATATATTTCTTTATTGATTTCAGAGAGGAAGGGAGAAGGAGAGAGAGAAACATCAATGATGAGAGAGAATCACTGATCGGCTGCCTCCTGCACACCCCCTACTGGGGATCGAGCCCGAAACCCAGCCATGTGCCCTTGGCCGGAATTGAACCTGGGACCCTTCAGTCCGCAGGCCAACGCTCTATCCCCTGAGCCAACCCGGCCAGGGCTGATCCCTGACATCTTTAACGTCACTTCAGAACTGGCTGAGTGAAGGCCATGCGGATACTGACCATGTCATTCCATCTAATAAATTAAAAGGCTGGGAGTAACATTCCCTTACGGTCCCAGGACGACTCTGGGGGGGACCGGGACCCCAAGCCCTGGCTCCTGGGCCTGCCTTCCCCAGCCTACGGCTTCCCACAGTGGCTGAGCAGCCCTGCTTCCGTGATTCTGTCTGCACAGAAAATTACCCCCGTTTGGTCATGAGGGATGCTCCCAGGAAGGACGGAAAGGGACCCTTGCCCTTGATAAAGACTGATCAGTCCTTTGGGGACATGGGGCCAATGAGTAAGAGTGAGCACTGACCGATGTACTAAGGAACGTTCTCAGAATCTGTGTTCTCATTGCTAAAGAAATCAGCATTTCCACTGCGTATGCTCTTGGGTAATTATAAAAGGTGCCGGCTGCTTTTATAAAAGCTGTGAGTGGTCTCATTTGTTGGTGGTGGTTTCTTTTTCGGCTTTTTTTGGTAACTTAGATGTTTCCAATCCTAGAATGGCCACTAAGGTTTTCATCATTTCAAAAGTTCATGACCTGCTCTGTGGGATCAGTGTGTGTCCTCAAGCCGGTACCCAGTTCACCATCCGGTTTATTGCTGACAGTATCAAAATAAAAATGAAACGCAATCGATGACACTCATGCTTTTGAGAATCTCAGCCCCGCGTGCGACCAGACTCCCACCCACAGCTCAGTGAAGGCCTCTGCTCTTGGCTCCGACTGCCGTGACGTGACAGACCTCGACGTCGGCCCCCAGCCTCTGCAGCTCGTCCAGCCAGACCATCTGCTTGTGCGAAAGGCGGTCATTGGGGCCCTTGACTTCCACCAGCTGCAAGAGCAGTTTTCAAGGAATTAGTCTCCGGAAACGGAACAGCCACCAAACAAGCCGGAGGAGTTTCCACCCGGTATTTAAATGGCTCACCCCACTGCACCACTGTCGACATTTAAAACTCCTGCTCTTGAAAAGACAGTAGTGAGAGAACGAAGAATCCAGGCACAGACTGGGGCGAAATATATCTGATAAAGGACGTGTATCCAGAATTAAAACGCAGTCGCAAAACTCACCAGAAGGCAACCCCACCTGCGAGGCAAGGGAGGTGCCTCGCCCACAACGCGGGAGCTGCTTCAAACACAGCTCCCCCGCCTCCGGGCCCCCCGTGTGCACACCCTACAGAGGTCTCCCTTCTACTAACAGAACACAGCACAGAGGACGGAACGGAACGGGGACCAGGTGAGGAGAGACTGTGCTCACACACGCTGCGCCATGGAGGCCCACACGCAGGGAACGGGGCGGCCTCCGCCACCCGCCACCCCCAAGGAGCCCTGGCCCTCGGTCCAGGCGTTCTCTAGGGGTTCAGTCTTGCCAGCAACCAGGCGAGAAAAGGCTATTAGGTTGTGGCCTTGGATGAGGCCGCTCATCAGGTCACAGATACGACCTTCCATTCTGGCTCCACTGACCTTGCAGCGACGGTCCTGGGAGCTCCACACCACCAGGTCGGGGAGGCCGCCTCGGCAGTGTCGGAAGTCCTCGGCCAGGCGCCGGCACACCCCGCTGAGGACGGGGCCCCCCAGGCAGGAAACGAGGTCCTGAACACAGAACGCCAGGGTCAGCAGCCGCCCCGTGGTGCCCCAGGCCCCGGGATACTCCCAGGGATCCCGAGGCGGGTGGACCCCGTGGAATCCCACTGGTGGAAACCCCCGGCAGCTCTGCGAAGTCAGCTTTCCTCTGCCTGTCACCATTCCCTGCCCGCGGGAAAGTCCTGGGGCCGTGAGGAAGCCGTTTGGAATGTGACAGCGATGACGTACAGAGGCAGCAGCCACAGGGGCAGCGTCCTCACTCCCGGGGCCAAAGGTCAGACAGAGGGAAGCTGTCAGCTCAGGGGGAGAAGCATCCAGGGGCTTGGATGCCCTGACATGTACATTCCCCTCGATAACTGGCTTCGGGGCTGGGATACTGTCATACACGCATGCACATGTGCATGTGTGTTTACACAGATGCATGCATGCAAGCACGCAGGTACACATCCGTGTGTCCGTGTGTGTGTGTGTGGCGTGCAGACTCCCACCTGAGCTTGCTGCAGAGAAGCGAAGCGGTCCCAGCTGACGACGGACGCCGCTCTGCCTTCCTGGGCCTCCCACGTGGCCGCCACCCAGGCTCCCAGGCGCTCAGCGGGGGCCGCGTGGATCTGCCGCAGCCTGGCCTCGATGGCCGGCCGCCGGCTTGCGAAGAAGCTGTCTGTGCACAAGTCCAGCGGGAATGCCTGGTGAGAACCCACGCGTCAGACCAGTCAACGCCCGGACACCGGCCCATCTGGCTAAACCGGCGCCTTCTTCTTCCCAAGAGGCGTGTAAACGACATGGAACCGGGGGGCACAGGTGACACAGCACCTGGCGCACCCCCGGACCCTGACGGGCTCAAAGGTCGAGGCTGCAGATACGCTAACGTTTCTTTTGAGGGTCAATAGGCTTAACGTTTCAAACTTGACTCTGGAGTGAGCACCGTGACCAGAGACCGTAATGGGCAGGTTTCTGATGGGCGCAAATCACGGACGTGTGGACGCGTCTGCTCACCCAGAGAGCACGCCTGGGGCTGGAGCGTGGCCGTTACCTGGTAGGCGTTCCTGAAGACGTCTGCGATCCCGTCCATGAAGATGATGTCCCACAGGAGGAGGCCGAAGAGCGTGATGAAGGTGGAGCCCTCCCCGTGGATCCCTAAGGAAAGCCACACACAACACAGACCCGTGTTCTCTGGCTGAAAAACCATCACCACAACCTGCCTCCTCGATTTGAAGGGAACCACCAAACTATCTGGGCTTCAGATGCCATTTTCAAGCCGTTCCTGGTTCTTTTTTATTTTATTTTATTGATTTCAGAGAGGAAGGGAGAGGGAGAGAGAAACATCAATGATGAGAAAGGATCACTGACTGGCTGCCTCCTGCACGCCCCACATTGGGGACCGAGCCCACAACCCAGGCATGTGTCTAGTCTGGGAATCGAATTGTGACCTCCTGGTTCATCGGTCGACGCTCAACCACTGGGCCACACCGGCCGGGCTCATTTCTTACATTCTGTGGCTTACCTACGGGAGCCAACACGAGTCTCAGTGACCCCAGGAAAAGCCACATGCACATGTCAGAGCCGTGAAGAAGTGGTTCTCCAAGTGCAGGGCCGCGGAGCAGGGGGGTGATGCCACCCAGTCCTTGGAAAGGGCGACGGAGGAAGCCTGCTGGTCCCTGATTCCCCACCCGACCTGGATGGCGCGAGCTCACTCTGCCAGGAAGGAAGTCCCTGCTCCTTCTCGGCCTTCTCTGGTTCCCTGGTGCTGCCACCCAGGACTGTCCTTCAGCCCGACCCCAAGGCCCGCCCCTGCTGTCAGCGGCGACAGGTGGACGACAGCTGACGTCACTGGTGCCCGGAGGCCAGGAGATGCTGGCGTTAGTTACCCTGGTCGAAGCCGCTGCGTCTGTAATGGTCCAGCGCCAGCTCCTCCACGGAGCACAGGACTGTGGCAGGGGTGGCGGGCCCCCCGGCCTCCAGCACAAACACGGACTTGCCCATCCCGAGCTGCGGGCACAGCCGGCCCGTGATGGTCACCTGAGACGGGACAGGAGGACGGCCATGAGCCTCACTGCAGCTGCAGGGGGCAAACCTGGGGACCCCCAGGCCCACACGCCCCCCAGCCACCCATTCTGAGGCCGGTGACCCCCACGGTGGCACCTCCCAGGTCACTGCCTCGGCCCCGGGGGAGATGTGGGCCCCAGAGCTGCTCTCCGGCGCCCTGACCACGAAGGCGACACCGGCAAAGGCTGCGAGCTGCTGGCCCCGGAGATTTCCAGGAAGTCGCTCAACCCAGGGCCGGAGCAAGCCCGCCAGCGGGTGAGGATGGAGCGGTGGCCACGCCCCTGTCCACAGTGCTCGCCAGTCTCCTAAGTCTACGAGACGGTGACACCCGAACGGTTCCTGGCTGCCTTCCCTTGGGAGGACCCACAGGACGGGACTCACGTGCTTCACGTCCTGCACGGTGACTTCCGGCAGCTGCTGGAGGAGGTGGCGGTACCGCCGGCAGCTGGGCGACGCCCTCAGGCGCACGGCTCTCTGGTACAGCGACAGGCGATGCCCCGTCCTCACCTCGGGGTCCGCCAGCCCTTCCGCGATGCACTTGATAGCCTGGAGAGAACGGGGTCCCGGGAGGGGACGGGGGGAGCTGTCAACGCGTGGACCTTTGTTACCAGGAAAGCAGCAGCAACCTCAGCACGGCCTCTCTCCGCGGGGGCCTGGGGGCCGGCAGGTGCCTTCTGCCGCTATTTCGGCCGAATGACCACCGAGAGGTACGGAAGCACCGCGCCCTCCTCCCCGAGAGAAAACAGCTCCCCGGCCCCACGCTCGGCCACAAGGCGCCCCTCCAGTGGGAGGCAGTGAAAACACTCCGTCCCATGTCCACGCCCGGGGTCAGTCTTTCCACCTGATGTCACCCTGACTCACTGCATGTGCTGCCGGGAAAAGCAAGCGCTCCCAGGGCACAGCCCTCCATTCATGGCCCAGGCGAGGCTGGCCCGGAGGCGGGCGGGGCGCGGGCGGCCACACAAAGGGCCACTGTTGCCACCGGGCAGGGGCGCAGCTGCTTGGCCACAGAAGGTCCCTGCACTTCCAAGATCCCAGCCACAGAGAACACCAGCGCCCGGAAGGGAAGGTGGCCTGCTCGATGGCAAAGCCCGGGGCTTCCCAGAGGGAGTCACTCAGAAGGGCTTGCAGCCCTGACCGGTTTGGCTCAGTGGATAGAGTGTCGGCCTGCAGACTGAGGGGTCCCAGGTTCGATTCCGGTCAAGGGCATGTACCTGGGTTGCGGGCACATCCCCAGTAGGGGGTGTGCAGGAGGCAGCTGATCGATGTTTCTCTCTCATCGATGTTTCTGACTCTCTATCCCTCTCCCTTCCTCTCTGTAAGAAATCAATAAAATATATTAAAAATAAAAAAAAGAGCTTGCATTAGACTTCCAGCTCCTGGAGGCCCCAGGCAGCAGGGAACAAGCCCCGTTTCCACAGCAGAAAGCGCCTGCTGAGGGCGGAGGCGTCCGGTGCTCCTGGCCCCTGACCCCTGACCCCCAATTAATCCTAAATCCCAGCACAGCTCCCACCGCCAACACTGCTCCCTTCGTTGTCATGCTTGGGTTAGCGACCTTGTTATTTCTTTTCGTGTTGGGAGAGCACGGATAAAGGTCTGAAAAATGAATGTCCAGAGGCGGGGGCGGTCTAGAAGGGGTCAGTGGAAAAGGAGGGACATATGCAATACTTTCAACAATAAAGATTAAAAAAAAAAGAGTCCTGCCCGGCCAGCGTGGCTCAGTGGTTGAGCATCGACCCAGGAACCAGGAGGTCACAGTTCCATTCCCGGTCAGGGCACATGCCCGGGTTGCGGGCTCGATCCCCAGTGTGGGGCGTGCAGGAGGCAGCCGATCAGTGATTCTCTCTCATCAGTGATGCTTCTATAGCTCTCTCTCCCTCTCCCTTCCTCTCTGACATCAATAGAAACATATATATTTTAAAACACGAATGTCCTAACTACACCTGGTTCTTAAGGCATTCGTTGTCGGCTACCCTGCCTAGCGACTGAGTACCGGTTCGAGGCGTTTCAAGTGCTGGTGGAGGTTGAGAGCCAGCCGGTCCCACCACCGGCCTCTGCTGTCGGGACAATAGACTTTCTGGGACAAAAGGTCCTCCAGTTCCTGGACGGCTTCCTGTGGCGACAACAAAGGAAGCTCATTAGACGCGCACCCACCAAACAACACAAACAAGGTTGGCAGCGTCTACGCACAGAGCCTTTGAAACTGACTCCCGTCAGAAACATGCGCAAGCCCCACATACACACATGTGTGGGGTCCACAGACTCCCCGAGCCCCTGCCACGGATCCTCTTGGGACCCAGCTCGGGCATAAGCTCTGAGAAACGCCATTTTCTCAATACGGGATGCCCAACGTAACCGAGGTCACCTTGAGCCATCGCCCGCGGCTCGGTATAACAAGGGACACGACCGCGTTGCGGATTTGTGACTATTTCCAGACGGTCCCTGACAGCTGTCCGGGAGACACAGCAGGTGTGGGGGCTCCCCGCCGAGCTGGATGGAGACCTCCCCAGTGCCACACCAGCTCTGCGTGACCCTCAGGCCGGACGGGGGCACACTCGTCAGCTCCCAAAACAGCTGGCCACCAGCCACGCTCCCGCCGGCCCAGGAGCCCGCGGGCCGGAAGTCCGTGGTCTCACCTCGTACAGGTGCAGCCGCTGCAGGATCTCCACGGCCCGAGACAGGATCCTGGTGTACACCCAGCCGACGGTGAAGCAGCGCAGGAAGGGCGGCAGGGCCGCGTGGTGCCTGAGGGGAACGTGTGCACGCAGCTGGGTCACCGGGCCCGCTGGCCGGGAGACGGGCACAAGCTCACACGGTGGACGGAAGGCATCGCTCTTAGGACAAGGTCTGTTCTCAATACCGTGGCCTGTGCAATGCCTGGCTCTCCAGCTCCACCCCCAGGAGGGGCGAGCAAGAGGCAGGCGGGCAACGTGCCACTCTCACATCGACGTTTCGCTCTCTCCCTCTCCCTTCCTCGCTCTCTAAAATAAGTAACAAAAAAATAAGAATAAAGGATCGTGTGCTGTGACCTTGAAATGTGGAAGTAAATGTTCAGTGTTGTTTTTTTTTAAAATATATATATTGCCCTGACCGGTTTGGCTCAGTGGATAGAGCGTCGGCCTGCGGACTCAAGGGTCCCAGGTTCGATTCCGGTCAAGGGCATGTACCTGGGTTTCGGGCACATTCCCAGTGGGGAGTGTGCAGGAGGCGGCTGATCGATGTTTCTCTCTCATCGATGTTTCTAACTCTCTATCCCTCTCCCTTCCTCTCTGTAAAAAATCAATAAAATATATTTAAAAAAATAAAAATGAAATAAAATATATATATATTGATTTCAGAGAGGAAGGGAGAGGGGAAGAGTTAGAAACATCAATGCTCAGAGAGAATCATGGATTGGCTGCCTCCTGCACGCCCCCTACTGGGGATGGAGCCTGAAACCCAGGCCTGTGCCCTGACCGGGAATCGAACCGTGACCTCCTGGTTCATATGTTGATGCTCAACCCCTGAGCCATGCCAGCCGGACCAATTCAGTTTTCCTTTTCGGAACAACACCTATGTTTGAGTTTCCATTGAGAGAACAGGTCTGGCACGCGGGCTTCCCACCACATCTGTCCGCAGCTGGGTTCCCCGCACATTGAGTTCAGCTGAGCAATACCTGGGGAAGCCGCACCCCAGGGACGGCCACTGATAGCCCCCCTCCTCCTGTGTGCTCACGTGAATGTGTGTTGCACAGGGATCTGAATCATATGCAACCCCCAAGCTCACAGACCGTTCCTCCTGTCTCACACAGCGCTTTGACTCTGTGCAGAGCAGCCAGGAAGGTCACGGCCCAGCAGGTCCGACCCCAGAACCCAGACAGAAGGTTTCTCGTGAAGAGCACGGCCCCAAGTGGCAGGAACGGCTCGGTCAGTGAGTACCTTCTGGCGGGCACTTTAAACACCCCCACCCTCACCTCAGGGAAGGGTGGCTCTTCAGCTCCTTCCAGTCCCTCCTGGCGCCTTGAGAGAGCGCGTTCGCTTCCTTCCAGTTCCCGGCGGCCATGGCGGCAGAGATGTCACTCAGCACGTGGGCGGCGGCGGCGTACCTGGGGGACAGCCCACGCCATCTCGGTGTCAGATGCGAGCGAGCCTTTACGTGAGACATTTCCACCCCCGCCCTCGACCCAGCGCGGAAGGGCAAAAGCGTGTCTTTGAAAAACATGGAAATGATTAAAGTCTATTCTAGCAATAACGGAACCTGTAGCTTCCCTGGAGTGGCCCAGAACGAACACGGGGACTAGAAAGAGAGCAGCCTTCGCACCCCGCGGCGACGTGACCTGTTCCATCGTGTAAATGCGACGCTGATGGGCCTCCATCACTCGGAGGACCCGGGTCAGTCTAGAACAGCGGTTCTCCACCTTCTGGCCCTTTAAATACAGTTCCTCCTGTGGTGACCCAACCATAAAATTATTTCCGTTGCTACTTCATCACTGTCATGTTGCTACTGTGATGAATCGTCATGTAAACATCTGATATGCAGGCTGGTCTTAGGCGACCCTGTGAAAGGGTCGTTCGACCGCCAGAGGGGTCGCGACCCACAGGTTGAGAACCGCTGGTCTAGAATCCTACTCTTGCCCGTCGAACCAAATGTTCCTAAGTCCATCTACCAAAACGGACCTGGGAATGTCTGTCCGTCACGGGCCCGGGTCTGGTGTAAGCTCGTAAGTCGGTATTAGCTCTGTCTGAAGTCTGATTACTAGGAGGGCATTCACCTTCAGCTCGTTCATGCCAACCACAGAGTCACAGGGCAGGTGTGTGCGAATGTCTACGTCTTAAAAAATACTCCCTGCCAGGGGACAGGGCCACATCTGCAGCTCTAACCAAAACTCACTGGTTTTGGCAACTGTCATCTAAGCACATTTCTTTAAAAAAAAAATTATATATATAATTGACTCTGTGTGTGTGTATATATATATATATATATATATATAATTGACTTCAGAGAAGAAAGGAGAGGGAGAGAGATCAAGCCCGCAACCCGGGCGTGTGCCCCGACTGGGAACCGAACCCTGACCTCCTTGCTCATAGGTGGACACTCGACCGCCTCAGCCAGACCAGCCAGGCCAAGCACATTTCTACCTTCTCTGCAGAGTCTTAGGCATGTACGCGCAGGGGAGGCAGAAAGAAAACCAGGAAACAAAGCAGAAAGGGCCGTTCTCACTGTGAACGTAGGCCTGCCCTGCGGCCGGAAAGAGGAGCAGGACGGCTGGCGGGAGGGGGAAGCGCCCGGCTCTGACCTGAGGAGGTCGTCTCTGTCCTGGAAGACCCGGGCGCGCCGGCTGACCGTGTACCGGGGGAAGGCCACGCGGCCCAGGTTCGCCAGCAGCACCGCGGAGAGCTGGCCCTGCCCCCCGCAGGCGGCGTCCTCCTCTTCCGGGGAGTCGGTCGGGGAGAAGAGCAGCAGGGCCCGGGAGAACACCGCCCGGGGGCCCCTGCACACCCTCAGCGCCGGGCCCGCCAGGTCCTTGGCCCTGAGACACAGACGAGGACACGGAAATCACGTTCCCGCTTTTCAGCATCTGGACATCAGGTGATGCTCAGAGACAGCCACGCTCAGGGGTGGGGTGCTCGCTGTTCTCAGCCTCCAGGCCACCCCCCCTCCTGCCGTGTGGCCCTGGAGCGTCTCTGCGCCTCTCTGGGGCCCAGAGCCCAGCAGGGACCCGGGGAGGCCTCAGGGACATTTCATTTCCCAATGGTTCACGCCCCGTGTGGCTCCAGGAGAGCCGGGTGGGCTGGCGCTGGTCGCGAATAGCAGGAAAACGCGTAAAAGTATTGCCCGTTTGACATTAGCGATTCTCCCTTCTGACTCCAGGCACAGTTTAGATCAGTGATGGCGAACCTATGACACGCGTGTCAGAGGTGACACGCGAACTCATTTTTTTGGTTGATTTTTCTTTGTTCAATGGCATTTAAATATATAAAATAAATATCAAAAATATAAGTCTTTGCTTGACTATGGTTGCAAAGATCAAAAAATTTCTATATGTGACACGGCACCAGAGTTAAGTTAGGGTTTTCCAAAATGCTGACACGCCGAGCTCAAAAGGTTCGCCATCACTGCTTTAGATTAAGTAGTATGCTTAATGGAGAGTTCCCCCCCCCCCAAAAAAAAATTGACTGAATAGTTTACTCTAATCCTGCAAGAATAGCAGTTAGAACTGCATTTTTCTTGAATAACAAATCCTGGAATTTACCAAAAGGCCTATCGCCTGTATTCTCTCGCCTCCAGATCGTCCGCGGTCTTAGAAATTAGGACGGTGTCACAGGAATTATGAGTAACAGACCACGTTCATTCCAGGCTAGCAGAACGAATGAGGACTTTCCTCCCTTCCCGATCGAGCTGCGAGTGAAACCAGCGATGACAGCTCCCAAGCAGGGACTGGCTGTTAGCAGGTCATCTGCGCGCTCGGCATTTCCAAATGATTTTACGGTCACAAGAGCCAACGCACCTCTTTAAGATCACCGCCCCGACTCCGGGCGCGTTCTTGCCCCAGGTGCAGACGGAGGGCTGTCTGGCCAGTTTGAGCAAGGCCTCGGCCAGCTGCTGCTTCTGCCCACCGGGGCTCCCCACGCGGAAGGTCTTTGCCAGGGTCCTCAGCTCGGGAGCGGAAAGCAGTTCAAGCACTTCGGGGAGTTCTTGCAACTCGGATTCTGAAATGGTTTTTAAAGTTTTAAAGAGTCACAGCATGTTCTCGCGTCCTTTACTCTAAGGAAGCGCAGTTAGATGCAAATGAGATGGCGTTCGCTGTGGGAAATGTCAGTTTGCCCAACCAATTATCTCCGGGTATGAAAAATAGAGAACTCAGAGAAGGTATAACAGACCGACTTCTCACTGAAAAGGAACGGAGACCTGCCCTGGCTGGTGTGCTCAGTGGTTAGAGCATCAGCCCGCACACAGAAGGGTTGCGAGTTCGATTCGTGGTCAAGGGCATGTATCTGAGTACCCAGGTCAGGTGCATGCAGGAGGCAACCGATCGACGTGTCTCTCTTGCATCGGTGTTTCTCTCTCCCCCTCACTCCCTCCCTTCCAATCTCTCTAAAAATCAATGGAAAAAACGTCCTTGCGTGAGGATTAGCAACAACAACAAAGAAAACAAGCGCAGACACTCTTTCATTATCCTCGTTGTCTGAACCCCAAAGGCAAAGAAGAGCTTTGCCTCCACATGAGTGACTTATTACAACACACAGTTACTATCGATGGAGCACCAGCCAGCAGTTGGCACCACAGCATCGCCGTCCCTCCTCGTGTCCTGTCTTCCCCTTACGTTTCCCCGGACGCATCGTACCCGTCTGCAGAAAGCCGGCTCGCTCCAGTTCTCCAACCACGGGCGCCAAGTCAGGGGCGATCTCTTCATATTCCAACTTATGCCTCTTAATCCAGCCGAACTTGCGCTGGAAAAGTCTGACGTATAACTTCTGACCACGCTCTGCAAGCAGGTGAAGGAAGAGAGGGGAGGATGCTACCTTTCTTCTCCAAAACAGCGGACAGGTGTCGCTTCCTTTTTAAAACCGAGGGACGGTATACCTCTTAGAAGTGCATGCCTGCCTCCTCAACTGGTCTCCCCCCAGAACCCTTTTCTTCCTGTGGAAGACGTAACTTACCTGAAACACAAAGCCCCCACGGGGAATGTCTCCTTGCTCGTGTGTTCGCCCCCCCAGGGACAGGGAGATGCCCAGATGGGAAGCCCGGGGCTGGTTCTGCCACTTGTCCACCGTGGGGCACCTTCCTGAGACTTCGTTTTCTCTCCCACAAAAAGGAGGGGCTGGCCCTGGCCAGTGTGTTGCTCAGTGGTTAGAGCATCGGCCCGCACACCCAAGGGTTGGCGGTTTGATTTCCGGTGGGAGCACGTGCAGGAGGCAACCAACTGATGTGTCTCTCTCACATCGATCTTTCTCTCTCTCTCTCTCTCTCTCCCCGCCTCCACTCTCTTTTTAAAAATAATGGAAAAAATATCCTCGTGTGAGGATTAACAGCAACACGAGGAACTCCGTAATAATTCCACTGTGTGAATTTAAAACAAAAACCTTTCACTTTAACGTGAGTCGTCATGTTCCGGGTTTTTAAAAAAATCTACTGAGAAGTCAGACCTGGCTACGGGGCACCCAAGGTCAGTGTGGCCTCCTCGCCAGCCGCTCCTGCCGCGGGAGGGACGCTGGCTCCCCCTCGGCCCTTTGGGTAAACAGCGAGGCTGTGACAGGGTGGCTTCTGTTGCAAACCTGGCCCCTGGCCTAGAGCCACGGCGGCTGCCAAGGAGCCGAGGCGTATTTTTACACGGACCAGTTTAGCTTGGCTGCTTCCACTTCCTCCACGCCCAGACTCGGAAAGGCAAGCCCAGGAGCCTAAAATATTGCTGGGGGGAATGTGGTCTGCCTCCTCCTGCTCTGTCCCTTTGCTTTCATGTCTGAGGAGGCTGTGCAGAAACCAACAGCCCGCCCCGGCCCGGGCGGCCGCTCAGAACGCAGAGGGCGCTTTGCGAAGTCGCACTGCTAACTCTTATTTTTTCATCCAGAAAAGGCTGTTTGTCACCTACCAATGACATCAATAAGTCCTGCGACTTTAAGGGTTAGAGTGTTGGCCTGCGGACTCAAGGGTCCCGGGTTCGATTCCGGTCAAGGGCATGTACCTTGGTTGCAGGCACATCCTCACTGGGGGGCGTGCAGGAGGCAGCTGATTGATGTTTCTTTCTCATCGATGTTTCTAGCTCTCTATCCCTCTCCCTTCTTCTCTGTAAAAAATCAATAAAATATATTTTAAAAAAACCCAATTCCACCGTAGAATAATTGATATAAATGAGAGTTTAGTTCCTATGGCATCTCATCAGTATTATAATGAGAAGATGATGAACAAAACATTATTGGAGCCCGGCCGGCGTGGCTCAGTGGTTGAGCGTCGACCGAGGAACCTGGAGGTCACGGTTCGATTCCCGGTCAGGGCACAGGCCCGGGTAGCGGGCTCGATCCCCAGTGTGGGGCGTGCAGGAGGCAGCCGATCCGCGATTCTCTCTCATCGTTGATGTTTCTCTCTCTCTCTTCCTCTCTCTTCCTCTCTCTTCCTCTCTGAAGTCAGTAAAAATCTATTAAAACACAACATTATCGGAGGGCCTGCTGTATACATATACAGGCAGGAAACTACAGGGACAGGCATCACAGGGCACAAAATCTTGTCTCCTAACCTAGAGGAGACCAGTAGAAGGCTGACTCCTCTGCGTGCTCCCAGTTGATTCTTAAAACCACACTGACTCCTTGTGGCCAACAGACTGCTGCCGGTCACCTCACGGCCCCAATCAGGCCAGCAAATGGGGGACAAAACCCCGACAGCACACGCTTACGATACCTGATAACTGATGGAATTTAGTGACGATTCCCCTCTCTTGCTCGTCAAAGAGCATCCTGTCGTCCTCATTCTCGAAGACGGCTCCCAGCACCACCAGGAAGCTGCGGAGGTAGTAAGGGTGGCCCGGCGGCGCTGGGCCCATTTCACCAGGAACGCCGCAGCTCGGCCCCAGCCCCGAAGGAACCCCGGGAGCGGTTTCATCCTTTAAGCCGCTGTCACCTTCCAGAGGGAGTTTGTGGAAGTTCCCCCACTCGGAAGCGTCATGGGTAGAGCTCTGAGATGGCGCCTCCCAAGAAAGCCGTGTTTCAGATTCCGAAGCCCTAGGGACTTCGGTTTCTTCACCAACATCGGCCTCCCGTGTCCCGACACCTGCACCATCCGCTTGTCCGACGCTCTCCTGCTCTGCACGGCTGTCCTCGGAAGCGGACAGTGGTTTATTCCCAGGAGTTCGTTGGGGCGATAACACAGCATTATCTGGGGAGGCAGGAGCGAGGGTGGACCTCCCACGGTCCTGGGGAGGCTCTGGCTTTGCAGCTGCCATTAACGAGGGGCCTTCGACAGGATCTTGCTCCGGAAGAGAATCGCAGGAAAACAGGTTTTCCTTTTGGGAGCTGCTCTCCAAGCCCCGATCCTCGTCCTTCGCCTCGGCACAGCTGGCCACCACCCTGACCGCTGCGGCCGAGGCCTCGTTCTTCTCCGTGGCTCTTCTCGCCTGCAGGTACCTCCTGGATAACTTGGACGACAGGCTTCCCAAAGGAACCACTTGGACTTGGCGAGATCTCAGCTCGGTGTCTTGACTGTGGCACACGCCGCCATCGGTACCTTGAAAGTAGGGGCTGGTCCGCTTTTGCGCGCCCCGTGTTGCCGAGTCGCTTTGCTCGGGGGTTAAGTCTGTCTTGGACGGTGGCGACTTCTCCGGTGTTACCCCTTCTCCAGGGGCCACGGCTGAACCCGGGACGCCGCCCAGCCCCGGGGCCCCCGGAGTGACGTCATCGCGGCTAGCACACATGTCATCGAGGTGCCGGTTCAGGTCATAGCGGGGCACCATCTGACTACACACCGGGCAGGCAAGTTTGGCGGGTGGCGTGTTGTTGAAACACAGCACGATGGACTTGGATGCATTTTTTTTCGCTCTGCTGCTCGACAGGCTTCGACGGGGCCTTTTTCTCGCGGGCGACGTCCCCCCTGGCATCATGCGCCCTGGAGAAGCAGGCTGTGTCTCGGGGAGGAGAGCGAAGGCGCCCCCTGGGGGAGGGCGCAGGGGTTTGCGGGGACGTTCCCGGGCTGGACGGCGGAGAGCGGGCTTCCCTTGGACTGCATAGCACGTACTCCCTGCAGAGCACAGCACGTGCGGGTCAGACGGCAAGGCGCGCTCCGAAGCCAGAGCCGGGCACCGCGGAGGAAAAGCCTGGGGCGGCTACGGGCAGGGCGCCCCGTGCACGCTCAGCGCGACCCGCCTAAGGCACGGCCTGGCACTGGGCTCGCTGACCTCGCGTTGAGCCCCCAGTGGTCCCCCCCAATGTGGCTACACCCGATCCCTTCCTAAACCCACGGCATCGGTAACTGTTTCCGGGAGACAGGATGCCCGGGTCACTCCTGCCTGCACGACCGGCAGCTGCGGCCACCGAACCGGGGCGCGGGGTGAGCCCG